TTTTGGATGCTTGTAAGATGAATTGTTCTCTCATATCCTATAACTTGAATCCTAGAGATCTAACCACTGAGGTCTTCCGAATGTTCTTCACACACTATGGATTTTTGTAGGATTGCCTTGTTCGCTTTGTTATTTTCCATAAGTATTCTGCATAAATATTTATTAGCACAATTAATATAATTTAATTATTCATAAAATATTATTAGCACAAATAATATAATTTAAATTTATTTGTTTTGTTTTAATCATCAAAATTCCGAGATTAGAATTTGACCCTTGAGGCAGCAGTGTTGGTCTGACCTAAGGTAACGGGTCGTGACAAAGATGATATCAGAGCATAAGTTGGGCCTTAAGAATCAATTGTGAAACATAGCTTTCTAAGTCTATGATGAGAAACAGTAATGTGAAATCCTTGGGGAGAATGAACCATAGGTTACCTTTAAGCCTTATCTTGTTGGGATTGGCTGTAACCAACAGAGATAGGGTACTTTTAAACAAATCTCAGCTTCATTGTTAGTGGACTCCCCATAGAACCTGCATAAGGTCCTATTAGAATGGTGATAGTTAATGAACTATAGATGTATCAAATGTTATTGACAATGTATGAAAGGTTATTTGAAAATTTTACAAAACTTCTTTTCGTTGGAATAGAAGTAGAGAATCGATTGGAAAAAGGTATAATGGCCTCATCAACCAATACATCTTGCTCTAACGAGAGGCGCTACTTTGAAAATCACTTCGAAAAAAAATGCATTCAGCTTTAAAATTTTACGAACAAAATGAATTTAAGAAAATAAGTTGTCCTGAACTTTGCCTTGAGAGTAATTCTCTTATCTCGAAATGTCAGAAAATTGTTTATCTAAATTCAATATCTATTTATTAAAAAAAGTAATTAAAAAATTCTTTTGATGGCATGTCACTAACACTTAATTTGATAACTCAGATTATTTGAGACGATTATATATATATATGCATAATTAATTGGTTGGAATGGAATGAAATAGTAATCTCAGGTAATGAAATTGAAGAAATAGAAAGTCAAATTCTGAGAGTATTAGCATAAGGGATCTATGAACGAATCTTTTAAAAGAAAAGGATCCAAGCCGAATAACTGTAGAAAAACTTGAAGGTCTAGTATATAGAGTAAGAATTTATTATTTAAACAAAGTTTCAAAAATAAATGAATTTTGGGTGGAAAATAGAAGTTAAGGATCAATTAAAATCATGAAATATATATCATTTGAAGAATTAGTCAAAATAGATGAACTGGACTATTTGAGTGTATAGGTACATAGAAAAGAGTAATATTGAGACGTTGATTAAGGTTCAAGTCTAGGGAAAACAATTGGTGTCTGGCCAAGTATATAAAGTTGAAAGATAAACCATATTAGATTAAATTTGAAGTAAATTATATTGAGTAGAAATAAGAGAGTTAATAGCATACCAAGACATAGTTTAGGGATAAGTGTATATACGATCTGACAATAAATCTTATTAGATTAAATTTGAAGTAAATTATATTGAGTAGAAATAAGAGAGTTAATAGCATACCAAGACATAGTTTAGGGATAAGTGTATATACGATCTGACAATAAATCTTATTAGATTAAATTTGAAGTAAATTATATTGATAAGTGTATATACGATCTGACAATAAATCTTATTAGATTAAATTTGAAGTAAATTATATTGAGTAGAAATAAGAGAATTAATAGCACACCAAGACATAGCTTAGGGATAAGTGTATACACGACCTGACAATAGAGACATTCCTTGAGAAATTTAGTAAAACGCACTTTAATTGAAAAATCAACTAGAAATTTCACGCATTGATGGACATATGGAGAAGAATAAAGGTTAAACACAATTTGGAATGCTAAAATATGTATAGTAATTGAATAAGGAAAATTAAATAGACAATGAGTTAAGGAAGAATAATGATTTTTGAGGATTGAAATAATACTTGGAAAGATGATGGTCCTATGCGATAAGCTTACTTATCAACATAATTAGACCCTTTAGAGAGTAAGCTCAAATTGGGTTAAGCATATTAATGGGTTGTGAAGGATCCTTAGGATTTAATTAGAAGGGAAAACTACAATTGTAATCTCTATGTTTTGTTAAAATTAACTACTTTATTCTTGTAATTTTTAAAATATACTTCCATGTCCTCATATTTTTAGTCCGTTACACCATATACTCCTTCCGTCCATTTTTTGTACTTTTAAAGAACAAGTCAATGTAGACTATAATGGTCTAAAGAGAAAAATTAAAAAAATGTCAAAAATATCCTTAAGATGTTTTAAGAATATGAATGGGTAGGATTTAATCTGGAAAAAAAAGGCTTCTTCAAGCTTCTTCTCTCTACCCGCCACGACAACACTACCATTTTCAACCATTGTAGACACTGTAAAACTTAAACTGACATACTGAAATCAACTAACCGAACATAAAAATTAGAGAGATCAAAGCAACATTGTACTACTTATGTTGGCATACTGAGTATTGATTAATTTATACAATTTCTCTCTTTAGTTTATCTCTCTAAAACAAGAAAAAAATGAAAAGAAGAGAAAAATAATATTGGACAGGAATGTGATTAAATAACTATAAAAGTATTAAGTGGGTAAATGCTATTGTGGTAAGAATTTAATTAAAGAATAATAAAAGAATTAAAAAAATATTATAGGATAAAAAAGAAGTAATCAGTGATGTCTAAAAGGTTATTTTATATAAGGTTGATTTGCTATATATATATAGTAATATATATATATATTAATATATAATAATAATAATATATATATTGCAGAAATATGAAAATACTATTAAGGCCGCATTTACTTTTCTCGATGATCCTTTAGATATAATAATACTTGTGTTTTTAAAAATTATTTATTGTTTAGTTAAAAAACATATATATGCAGAAATATGAAAATACTATTACAGGACCATTACTTTTCTCATGTCCTTTAGATATAAATAATACTTTTTTTTAAAATTCATTTTTGTTTATTTTAAAAAACAAATTCATATTTAGGGAGGAAACAAATTCAGTATGTTTCCTTATAAATAATATTCCCTGTGTCCTATTTTACAAATTTTGTTTGTATGTTATTTCTTTTCTGAATGTCTGAATATTTACAAGGTTTCTAAATTTGTATATTTAAATAATTAGTTTTTACATAATAATCTTTTTGATTGTTCATTAAATAAATTACTTTTATTAATATCTTAATGAGTCAATAATAAAAAGAATAAAATAATTTGTCTACTAAATTATTAATATGTATATTTTGTCAAACCATATAAATAAAATAGGAAGGATGAAGTATATTAAAATATCTCACAACATTTAAGTAGTTAAAAATAGGAAAATAATTATTTTATCCCTAAAATTTATCATAATTATTTAAATAGTCCCTAACTTTTATATAAATATTTATAATATCCCTGAAATTTGGTTATATCATACAACTTAATCCTTCTCTCCATAAAATCCACGTTTTACTGTTAATTTTTCATAAAATGACAGTACCATCCTGAATTCTCTGATTAACATATTCTCCGTTAGTTAACATATCCTCCTTTAATTAACATATCTCCGATTTCCAGCAACAATAAACTTAACAAATAAATATGAAAATAAAGTATTGCACTCAAATAAACCGAAGTCCGAAATAGAAACAGAGCTTATTGGGGAAGAAGATTACTCAGTGATGGCTAAAAAGTCATAGACTGATTTACTCAACTCAACTCAGAAGCGAGCTGTGAACCCTCATTGTACCCTCAATTTCCCCAATTCCATCAGTTACAAAACAAGAAACAATAAACCAATTTGATACAACTAAAAAATTAAGAGTAAAACTGTTCAAAGATTGTGGGAGAAAATGGCTCAGGTCAGCAGAAAAGTCGACATGCAAAGATGGTTCCTTTGCCAGATTTCAAAACTCGAAACCTAAAAATCCAAAGAGGTAATCTAGATTTTGAATCTTGTTGTCTTCTTGCGGCTTTGGCAATAACTTGTTTATCCTCCATGTGCATATGATCTTCGCTGTCATCAAAATCGGAGATGGATAATCCAAAACTCAAGCTTCCCAGATTTAAGCTTGTTGAGGGTGGGTATTCAATTAAAGGAGGTGAGAGGTGAGATGGATATTGAAAGTAGAGGCTGTTGGTGGCTGCAGAATGAATTGTTGAAGAGTAGAGATTTGTTTTAAGGATTTGAGGAGAGAGAGAGAGAGAGAGAGAGAGAGAGCTAGATGAAGGTTCATGCTGGCTTGATTGGCTTTAGATGTCAGGTTTTGGCTTTGACAATTATGTGTACAATAATGACAATAAAAAATTACAGAGATTAAAATTAACGCCGAGAGAGAGAGAAGCTTAGATAAAGGTTATGCTGGCTTGATTCGGCTTAAGCATGGTCCAGGTTTGGCTTGACAATTGTGTACAATAATGACAATAAAGAATATTTAAGTCAGGAGTAAAAATTAATCGCGAGGCCTGGGGGGGGGGGGTGAGGGGGGGGGGAGGGTGGTGGGGGTGGGGGGGGGGGTGCGGGGGGGGTTGGGGGGTTTATATGGAATGTAAGAATAATATGAATAGTACAAATTACGTGTATAAAAATTTAGAGACGACTTGAAAATATATTATTCAATATCTCAGTAATGAATATGGGGGGGTTTAGAGGAATGTAAAATTAAATAAATATACAAATCACTGTATAAAAATTAGAGACGACTTAAATAATTATGCAAATCTCAGTAATGAAATAATTATTTTCCCTCAAAAATATAAAAGATATGTAATTGTTAAAACCAACCACATAAGTGCCTAGTTTCTAGTTGTAATATTTTAGAATAGTTGAATCTCATCACAAGTTCAAACCTAAAGTTTTATGCTCTAGCTTTATAGATATAAAAAAAGAAAAACAAATAGAACATAAAATCTCAAAAATATGAAAAAAGAAAAATAAATATATATATAAAAAAAAAAACATACCATGAGAAAGAGCAGAACATCCATTATAATAGTAGATTATTTTCTAAGGGAAGCAATTAAAGAGAGCAAGTTTACACACTATACTTTTTCACTTATTGGACCTTCATTACTTATTTATGAAACTAATATATAGTTTTAAGACATAATATGATCACTATGTAAAATATTCACACCCCAAAGTCTCTTATCTTTTAATAATAATGTATCTTCTTCAATTTCTTAATTATCCACCTAAAGCTGCCTGCCTTCACCATATTTTCTTTTCTCTTCTCATTTTTCTCATTTACCATGTTAGGCTCACTGTCCTCCTTATGCTCCTCAATTTATCAGCCTTCTTTTGTGGCATTGTTGATGGTTTCCTTCTCAGAACCTGTTATTTTATGAATCACATAATTAGTATAAAAACAATTTGGAGGAAATAAATTTGATGGCTAATTACAGAAAATGTTTTGGATAAAACTACAAATAGCATTCTGATTTGTTCTCATGAGCCTAGATTTAAGTGGTGAATTACCTCTTCCTTTCGGTTCTGTTCGATTTCCTCCTGTTTCACACATTACATTTGAAAAATAAGATCATACTTCCAAATTTTGACTGGAAATTTAATAAAGAAAAGATTAATAATTAATTTCATGCTTTAAATGAGAAGGAAGAAATATTTACCACAAGTTGCTTTAGCTTAGCATTCTCTTCTTTGAGTTGATTCAGCTCTAGTTCCAACTCCACTGTATAGGCCTGCATTATAACAGATTCGAGAATAATTCAACAAAAAACTCTGCCAAATTGCATAAGCAATGGTCTGTTTAACACTAGTGACATTGTAGCGATTTTTTAAAAATGATTCTTCAAGAAAGCAACTGTTAAATTGAATTTCAAATAGGCTCTATTATTTAGTAAGAATGCAATAAATCAACGTAATGCTCCAACAGAAGACTATAAATAATAAGAAATATAATGAAAAGATGAATGAGTACAACACCTGCTTTCTAGCTCGAGATCTTGCTGCTGACTCTCTGTTCTTGATCATCCTCCGTTGCCTTCGCTCCACAACCACCTCCGGCGGACCATCAATGATCCTCTTCTTGCTTTGTTGTGCTCCCATGTCGAATTGACCTTGTTCATTTTTAGCATTACTTGGTGCTTCTCCCATAAACCCTTTGTTTTGAGGGAACATTTGGTAAGGTGTGAAGCCATTGCTTGTAGAGAAACTATTTCCAATAGTTTGATGGGCAGAGAATCCAATTCCCATCACTTGCCCCATCCCAAAAGTTGCATCCAAACAATTATTTAAATTTTGAATAGGTGTTATCATTTTTGACTGTGATGACTCTGCAGGTGATTCTTGTACTATCCCAGCTTTTACTAAGAAATCTTCTAGTGTCATCTCTCCTAGGGTTTGTTGTCGTCGAGGAGGCTCATGAGGACCAATGTTGTTGGGCTTTTGAGGGTCCGCTCGATCTTTTTGAATTTCAAACCATACTTCATCAACAGTTTTCTTGCAAAGCGGAGCCGGGATAGAGAAGGAGCCTTGTCGCGCTAATGAAGTAGGGTTTACTCCCCCATTAGCATTATTGTTATGATTATTGTTATTGGTACCATTTTCTTTGCTCGAATTTTGATTTTGGTTTTGGTTACTGGGTTGTGAAGTGACCTGGTTTTCATCAACACTACTCCATAAGTTAGCAAGAAATTCATCCATGTTCATGGACCCAAAACTCTTGCCACTTTTGTGTTGAATTTCATTAAGGGTGAGCGACAAGAGAGAGTTCTGTCCATTTACTGGAGAAAATGAGCTATCTTTCAGTGAATCTTCCTGTAATGGTTGCTGATGAAGAAGATGTGGTGAACTTGGTTTGGTATCAGTGTCATAAGCAATGGTGTCTGGTTCAGAAAGTACCATCTTTTGGCAATGTAATAGAAAATATGGTTTTTCCTACAAATTTAAGCCTCAGCTAATCCCTGAACAAGAATTATTGCAACAATCAGTCAAACATACATTAAATTTCACAACTTTCTTTGCGTAATTAGGCTCTGACACAGAGAATTTTCTTTGTGGTCTGACTAGTAATCACAGAAAGAGACAATTCTAATTACACTAAAAGTTCCTGTTAAAGACAATCCTTTTTTTGAACAAACTAAAAAGACAAAGTTGTGTGAAGAAACTCTGGCAGCAATATTAAGACTTTTGGTTTAGTTCAAAATGGAAAAAGCTTTTGGTTTTATTTATGACATCCACATTGCTGCTAGATTCAGATAATTTGGACCTGGACCACAAAGAGTAATGTAAGGCCGAGCTCATTTAAAAGATCAAAATTTTTTTATCTCAATTTGCTCAAATTAAATATTGGATTAAATATGGAGTTTTTCTTTTTTTGTCTATCTATATACATATACATATACCTCAAATTAATATTGGATTAAATATTGGAGTTTTTGCTTTTTTTTTTTGTCGTATCTATATACAATACATATATATATATGATATATAATATATATGAGAAGTAAATAAAATTAAGAAATTAAATGAATTATAAAATTTTGACAATATTTTAATAAATTAAAAAAAAATAATCCCCAAACCAATCATATTTCTGGAAGCCAATAACCTGCTTCAAAATAAATAAAATAAAAAGAACTTAATAGTCTTGGAGTCCATAAAAAGATAGTCAAAGGATCAAATCCTAATAAGTGCCACCCATTGTTACTTCATTGAAAAGAATAACTCACCAAAACTTAAATAAAAAAAATTTTAAAATATAATGAAACATGGGTTTTATAAACCAAAAAAAAAAAAAAAGAATGAGAATGAGACTCTAGACAAAAAAAAAAAAAAAAAAGAATGAGACTCTAGACAACTTAGTAAAATTAAATTTGACAGATTACTTGAAAGAGACAACTTAAAAAAAAAAAGAAGATAATAACCTCAAGAACTTGCATGCAAATACATAACTGGATAGATTTAGCCATCACAGGAGAAAGAAGAAAAGAAAGCAAATGCAATCTTATAAACATAAGTATATAGTTAGCAACCAAACTGAGAAGGAGAAAAGGAAAATGGGAACCTGAAAGTGATGAGCTTGAGGGTTGAGGCAAGCATGGAAGAAAAAGAAACAGCAAAAGGAAGAATGGTAGCTAGCTAGCGCTGTCTTCTTTCTTATGTATAATACTGTGCGTGATAAGTTGTAAGGAGAAGGAAGGGATGATCGATAGAAACAAAGCAAGAAATGGGAATCTTTAATAAATATAAGTAGGAAAGAGGTGAAATAATACAGTGGGTGTGGGTGGCTGGCTGTCTCTGTGTGTGTAGAGAGAAAGAGAAAAGAGAGAGGCAGAATGAAAAAAATGTAACTGCCATGGCCACACCCTTAATACATGGCAATCTGTGGTCCCCACAGTCTGTTCAGTTTTGTTGACACGTTAATGCCACTTGCCTCTTTTTTTCTGCCTTAAAAAAATCCTCCCTTGTTTTCTCATTTCCATGTTGTCCTTAATTTGCATGGCTTAGCCTTGCTTTTCTTTATTTATTATTTGTTTTAATTTACTTAATTAATATATAAAAAAAGTTTTACCCTCACATTTTATTAAAACTTAAAAATACATTAATATAATGAAAGTTACAAACTTTACTTGTAGGGTAACGGCTTCAAATTTAGAATCGTCGTTATTGCAAAGATTTTATCTCAACACTAATATGTAGAAAATAAAAATATAGAAAAAATATAAAAAATTACTATGTAGGTCTTGTTTTCTTGAACTTTTATTTATTAGCTTTTTATAAGAGATTATTTGGATTGATAGAATGTTAAATTCATAAATTTTATATAACGAGTAGAATATAAAATTGAATTCATGGATTACGAAAAAGCAAGTATTGTCATTTGGCTGAAAAAGTATAATTCGGGATTTGAGACATGTTTGAAATGAAATTAAATGAATTAAATTATATAATTAAAAGCAATGAGATTTATAAAATCTCAAATAGTTAATCAAATGTGAAATTAACACTTTAATATTAGACAAGAATTAACACTCAAAACTAAATATTAGAATTTTCTAATTAAAATATAAAAATAAATAGACAAAAAGTAATATTTATCTTAAAATCAGCTAACGTTATTTTCCTTAAACATTTATTCTTCTAACTAACACTCTAATATTTCATTATATTTGGGAATATCGTCATATTGAATATTAGTTTAGTTTTTCATATCATTGTTACCTCCTATAAAATTATTAAAAAAATTTATTGTTTTACAGAGTTATATAAAAAATAGTTATTAAGCCAATAAGAAGATATTCTTGATAGCAAAACCAAAAACTATTGACACAAAAATAAATAAATTCTCAATAGCCAAAAGCAATTAAAATGAAACATATATATATACTAATGTGATAAGATAAAAATTTTCCACAATAGGATTCTAATTTCTAATTAGAATGAAAAAACTTCAAAAATTGGTATTCCGAATATATAGTTAATTTAATATAATTTGAAGTGTATAAAATAATATATTATCAACTTACCCTTAATAGAATTTATTGTAAATAAATATATATCAACTTATTCTTAATAGAATATATTTATTGTAAATAAATATTATTTATTTATTTATACTAATCAAATGCAATAAAAAAACTTCGGTAATAAAATAATATGATCAATGCAAATTGCAAATAGTATTTGAGTAATTAATTGTATTCTTATCATATTTAAAAAATAAATAATATAAAAAATGATATATTATTTAAAGAATAAGTTGTATATAAAGTTTTATATTTAAATATACTAGTTAAAGAATTTATATTTAAATTGGAAATCTAATAATAACCAATTAAAATTAAATTACCTTCATTTTTTCAACCAATAGGATTAAAATCTTTATAGATATATTTTTTTTTCAATTTATAAACTTAGTAGACGTCTTTTTATTGAGCAATAGATTTTCATATAGCGTTTATCATTTTGATTAAGGTTAAACTACTACCTTTGTTTAAATAAATGTATAATTTCTAAAATATAAATACTAATGTGACATCATATTAAAGTATGAAAATAGTGATGTGGTATTTTATATCTTTTCACCACAGTTATTCTTTTTTTTCATTTGCATTTAATAAACAATAAGTTTTTTCTATTTAAATAATAGAATTACAAACTAATAAAATCTAATTGAGATTATAATTGAGTTATAATTAATAAAAATTAATTAAATAATAGAGTTACAATAATAAGGTTTAACTAATAGAATCAAAATATAATTTCAATTCACTAAATTTGTTACATTACATTTAAATTTTATTATATCTTATTTAGTTTTAAAATATTAACAAGCATTTCAATTGAATATATGAGAAATCTAAAAAAAAAAACATTTGCATTGCAATAATTTAATTACAATAATTTATTATGCTAATAAATATTTCAATTTATTACTTGATAATCCCAGAATGAATATATAATTTCATCTTTCATTATTTAATCAAATTACATAAGCAAATTATTTAAATCAAAACAACTCAAATATAAATCACAATAATTTTCTAAAAATAATCCATTCAAATTTATTAAAAAAATACAAAATTACATGATCGGTGCATTGCATAGGTACATGACTAATTATTTATAGTGTTCCAAGACTAGCGTTTTATACTAGTGTTTAAAGTTTGATAAAGTATATTATGAAAATTTATTTCCTTTAAAGTTCGATGAATATTTGTAAAACAATTGACAACTACTAGAACAGTAGTTAATAACTATTAAAACAACTAATTTGTCAAATAATGCCTATATATAAGAGGATTTATTATGAGATTTTATTGATTTATGAGTTAAAAAGAGTAAGTATCGTCAATCTAATTAATAATTTTATGGATTTTGTATGCGTTGAATCTTAATGAGAAGATCACGAGAAAAGAATTGAATTTTATATAAAAATCCACTTGGAGAGCACTCAAATTAAATTTCATTTAGAAAAGAATTGAATTTTATATAAAAAATCCACTTGGAGATCACTCAATTAAATTTTCATTTATTGATAATTTTATGTACCTGATAATTATTACTAGTATTCATCGCCAAGTAACGCCTATATAAAAGAAGGATTTATTATGATATTTTGTTGTGTTATGGAGGTGTAGAGGAGGAGGAAGGTGAGGGTCGTCAAGTCTAATTAATAGAGTTCTATGGATTTTGGTATGCGGTTTGACTTCTTAATGAGAAGATCACGAGAAAAAAGAGTTGAATTTTATATAAGAAAATCCAATTGGAGAGCACTCAAATTAAATGTCATTTATTTGAAAATTTTATCTACCTTAATAATTATTTTTTCTAGAGAGAGAATAAGAATTAAAGCAGAGTGAGTGATATCAAGTTCATAATAAGAGCACTCAAATTAAATTTCATTTATTGAAAATTTTATCTACCTTAATAATTATTTTTCTAAAAAATAGAAATTAAACACATATATATCAAGTTCATAATAATATATCTAAAAAAAAAAAGTACATTTCTTCTCGTTTCATCTTAAACTTATAATCTTTATGAATTAACTAACCAACATTAATGCTCCATTATTAAAAATGAATTCAAGGGGTAGAGTTGTAATATCCCAAATTTCGGGTTAGTAGTTACAACATTTCTGGATCACGATTACTAGTTCCAAAAAGTGATTGGTAACCTAGACCCATAAATAGTTTTGTTTATTTCATGTGTGTTGTTTGATTTGATAGTGAAATGATTTGTTTTAAATGATCTAGTAAACCTGTATTTCTAACCGAGTCAAAGGCACAGTTGGAATTATAGAAAATATGTATAAAGTGTGCTAGTGGCATTGTTGTAAAAGTTAATGTAGAGATGTAGCATATTGTGAATAGTTGAGAGTTGATTTTTTGAGGCTATTGAGTTAATTATATAAGATTAAGGGTTGTTAGTATAAATAAAGAGAAAATTTAAGTGTAGGGATTTATGGCAATTAGCTCAAACCTATCTCTAATCATAGCCATTCAAATCATAATTGAGTATTGCAAAACCCTAGGGATTTATGCTAACAATACAAAACTATCTCCTTCTCTACACTCTAGCCACCTATAATCTCTCTACACCATTTTTCATCTCCATTGATTAATCCTTCATAAAACCATTAAAAGACTTAAACTTATGTACAAAAAAGACATCTCGCAAGGATTAAAGAAGTTACTTTGGCATAATAATAGAAGATTAATGCTTTGGAAATGGATTTACTAGATTAGCTTTGCAATCTACAAACTAAGATATATAAAGATTTCACTTAGGCGAGAGAGTTCATGCACATCTTCTTCTTCTTGAATGTATTCTTGTGTTCTTAAGGGTGTTCTTACTTTTCCCATGGAAGAATGAGAGGCTTCAAGAAGAGAGAAAGGGAAATAGTTGACGAAGTAATTTGAGGTTTTTGATTGTTGAAGAGGAGAAGCTTTGAGGTTGGCACCTAAACCTCCATATTTCTTTATCCTTGCAATGTGTTTGATTGTGTACTTGATTGTGGATGTCTCTACAATGGGTTTTCATGAATTAAATGTATATACTTATGATGAATTTGAAGTTCTAGCATGTTAAATGGATGAAAGATGCATTTGAGCTTGAAAATCTAATTTCAAATTGATTTTGTAAATCATTAATCAAAAGACCTATGTTTGATGTTTTGATTCAATCTTGTATGTTTCTTGAGTATTTTTACTCCTATTAAACATGTATATATGTAGTTTTAAGTGTCTATGCATGGTTATTTGAGAGAAGTTTAATATGTGTGTTTGAAGGTTCAAAGAGGGAAAAATCTTGTACCTAGAAAATCCATGTTATACGGCCATGTCACCCAACACGGGCTAGCCGTGTAACCCCCTGACTTCTTAACTAAAATGTAGCCATTTGACACGGCCATGTTATGGGACACAACATGGCTGTGTACTTTATTGAACCTCACATGTAACTTTCTATTTTTAACCTCCAAATAACGCCTAAACACTTTCTATTTTTGACCTCCAAATAACGCCTAAATACCTCCTAAGAAAATCTTAACATTGATCAAGGTATAAATATGAATCTGCATATTGATGAAAGAAGCTCTTATGATGAAATGAACTAGACAAGCATAGTTAGGGTTTTTGCAAGTATAAAAGTGTGTAAAAACCTATGATAAATGAAGTGAATCATTTATGATTCAAAATATGAGCTTAAGTGTTAGTGAATGATGCATTATTGGACATATGATATGAGATGAAAAAAAAATGGTAATAAATGGATTTGCCTGAATTGATTGAATGAGTTAACCTAACATGATAATGAA